GGATTATTCCCAATCATGATGTAAACTACACTGCATTTCCACTGAGAAACTGCAAATTTGCTTTCACATATTTTGGTAATTTTTTTTCATAATAAACTGCATAATATGGACATAAACATGTTAAACAGTAGAAATATTAGGCCTAAATACTATGGTACTGACGGGAGGTGATTAGGACAGAACAACGCCATCAATCACGCATCTATTTACAGTACCACAATGACAAGCGACCATGACAGCTACTTTTTTACATCTAGCTTACAACTGTTTCTAATGTAGTTAGTGTTAGTTTTTTTCACTAGAATTAAACGGTAGTTGTTATCAACAAAAGACAATAGAGAGAGACCAGCAGAGGAGCGGGCGGGGAAAATGGGAGACAACCCTGCGGAGAAGCCGATGGAGAAGCTAACAGACATGACAGCGGAGGAAAGAGAAGCACAGCCGCTAGAAATGCCATCTACCTCCGGTAAAGCCCGCCAAAATCCATAAACACCATGTCCGCCAACAATCGGAGCGCCTTCCCCCTTAAAACCCAGAAAATATAGAGAAGAGTTGATCAAATATGGGTTCACATGCATCGTCATAAACGAGGCACAACATCCCCAGTGTGTAGTATGCTCAGAGGTTCTGGCACATGAAAGCCTTAAGCCTGTAAAAATGCTATGACACCTGAACACCAAGCATCCCAGTCTTGCTGGTAAACCTGTTGATTTTTTCCTCAGAAAAGAAGGAGAGTTATGAGGACAAAGGAAATTCTTAACTAAACTGACTACAACAACTGCCAAAGTTCAAAGGGCCTCATATGAGGTGGCATATTTAATTGCACGGGCCAAAAAGCCAAAACACAATCGGGGAAACTTTAATTAAACCTGCTGCTGTAGTGATGAGCAGTTATGCATGGAGATAAACAGACCACTGAGCTGGAGTCAGTGCCACTGTCTGACGGGACTGTTGCCTGTCGCATCACAGACATGGCTCAGGACATCAAGTCTCAGCCGATTGAAAGAGTAAAGAAGGGGAGATATGCTTTACAATTAGATGAATCTACTGATGTATCAAATACTGCCCAGCTCCTTGCTTACGTTAGATATATTTTGAGGGAAAACTTAACGAAGAGATGCTCTTTTGCTCCCAGCTGGAAGGGACTTGCACAGGTGAGGATATTTTCAATAAACTTGACACAAATCTAAAAGAACAGGGTCTGTCATGGAACGAATGCATTGCTGTGTGCACAGATGGTGCAGGTGCAATGCTGGGAAAAAAAGAAAGGACTAAAAGCAAGAGTCATGCAAGTGGCATCTCACATCAATTTTACGCACTGCATTATCCATCGAGAAGCTCTTGCTACCAAAACACTGGATGTAGAGCTTAATTATGTACTTGAAACTGTGGCAAAAATGGTCAATTACATAAGATCACGCCCACTTAATATGAGATTTTTTGCCATTCTTTGTAACGAACTGGGATCAGAGCACCAGGGCCTGCTGCTCCACACAGAGGTCAGGTGGCTTTCGCGAGGGAACGTACTGAGCCGCCTGTATGAGCTGCGAGATGAGGTGCACATATTTTTTTATCGAACAGGGATCCCAGCTTGCTGAGCACCTCACTGATCCTGACTGGCTCACAAGACTGGCATATTTGTCAAGTATTTTCGAAAAACTGAATGGACTTAATACGTGGTTGCAAGGTGAAAACACAAGCATCATGTCACTGAATGATAAGGTCCGGGCATTCACGAGGAAACTGGAGCGCTGGATACAGCGCGTTGAAATGGGACAGATTGATATGTTTTCTGAGCTGGAGGAATTCATGGAGGACAACACACTGTTAGGAGGTCTATCACCACTCACCTTCAAGCACTTCTGGAACATTTTACAAAGTACTTCCCTGTGGAAACGGCCACAGAACAATATGATTGGATAAGATCCCTGTTCACTGTAGACAGGGTGAATCACCTACCGTCTGACATGGAGGATACGCTCATTGAACTGTCTTCTGATCAGACTTTAAAGACCGCATTTGATTCCAAGACGCTGGCTGAGTTTTGGATTTCAGTCGAGAGGGAATACCTGCAGCTTTCCACCTATTTATTTCGACCTATTTATGTGAAAAGACTTTCTCGGCACTGACTTACATAAAGAATAAATAGAGATCGCGACTTAACGTGGAGGATGATCGAGTTGCCATCTCCAAAATCAAACCCAGAATGGACCTGCTTTGCTCCATGCACATTGCCCATCCATCAGATTAGTTGACTTTTTGCGCAAGCTGTGCATTATGCATGCACACATATCACACTGTGTTCGTGTTTTGTCCTGCTCTTACATATTGTGTCCATTTATTACATTTGTTTTTACACTGACATTCATTTTAATATTGTATTAAACCCCTTTATTACTAAAATTAACATTTGGTTGTTAGGTAGTGATCGGTTTGTTGTTATACCTGCTTGATCAATCAACCTGCGCCTCTGTGCGTTGTTCTGTGTACAGCATGTTGCATGTGGCGTGACTGGGTCATGGGTCTTTTGCAACAATATTTTGTGGGTCATGGGCTGAAAACTTTGGGAAACCCTGACCTAAGGCACTTGGACCTGGACAGGTCGCTGGTTTGTCACAGGGCTGACACATAGACAAACAACCACACACACTCACTCCTATGGGCAGTTTAAAGTCTTCAGTCAACCTAAGCTGCATGTCTCTGGACTGTGGTAGGAAGCCGGAGCACCCAGAGAGAACCCACGCAGGCACAGGGAGAACATGCATACTCTGCACAGAAAGGCCCCAGGTCGGCTGGGGCTTGAACCCCGAACCGTCTTGTTGTGAGGCAACAGCGCTAACCACTGTGCCACCTGTATTTAAAATTATAATAATATGTTAGAATTTATTTGTTGATTATATTTTATATTACTAAGTTGAAAATGCAGAGTAACTACTTATAAAAAATAGTGCAGAAAAAATGTTTGCTTTTGAAATTTACTGAAGTAAAGTACAAGCACGTCAAAATTGTACTTAAGGGCAGTAACTGAGTAAATGTACCCAGTTGCATTCCACCACTAAATGTATGTGCTAGGAACTGAGACTTTTAAGAGCTCTAACATTTAATGTGTGCTATGTTCTGTTTAGATCCAACATTCGTCCTGAGAATGAGAATAACAACCTCCATGAGTTTCGAATGCACACCTTTGAAAGAATCACTTACTGCAGTGCTTGCCACATGCTGTTAAGGTAAGAGGCCAGCTATTTTACACACACACACACACACACACACACACACACACACACACACACACACACACACACACACACACACACACTCACACTATAAAAGCACAAAACCCCTTCAAGGATATTGCCAAACTGAAGACAAGCTGTGGACCCTTTCCCTTTGAGTAGTCTTTTGAAAGACCACTAGTCTTTTTTCTCTGAAGCGAACCCTAAGAATTTATTCATCACCTTCCATTTTACTCCTCTCTTCATTTGCACATGTGACATAGTTACACAAAGTTTCTTTTGAATTTGCTGAATGGTATCAGCACCAAGAGGACTGCACCTGGTGGCCTCTCTTACATCAGGAATGATTGAGTGCTCCTGAGAACAGTGAAGAGAAATGTCTTTCAAACTTCAGCACTTCTTTGGGGCAGTGGACAGGAAAGGGGGACAAGATGACTGCACCATGAATATGCAGAGCCAGACATTGAGTGCACCAACATCTTCTGAGGATAAGATTAGAAAAATAAGAATAAACCAGGGATGGGCTCAAGAAGCATTTGAAGAGCAGTTTTTCATTTATCTTCTTTTGGATGTTATTTTCCTGATTATTTCTCATTTTCTTTAAACAGCATTTCAATCATCTTCTCACACATATGTTGGCAAACTCGCGGTCCTCGGCCCATCTTTGTCCCTAAAGGGCTCGGCCTTTCCTGGATGCCATTTTTGTACCAAATCATGTTGCAGACACCTGGTGACATCACCTGTTTCACATGGAATCATCATTTCATTACTGGTCCTGAAATGCAGCCGACCCAACTTAGTTTGGAATGTGTTGCAGGAATCAGAACTGAAGTGCGTGTTTATTTGGAACAAAAAATAAAATTGATGAGGTATCAGATCAAAAAATGTGTTGCTGTATTGTTTTCAATGTAATACAGGGCACAGATCACAGTGGACCACAGGGGACATATCACAGTTTTCATCTTTAATTTCATCTTTAATTTTGATTTTACATATCGTCCCAACTTTTTCTGGTTTGGGGTTGTAGAGTTACAGTATGCTATTACTCATTTAAACTAACACTCATTTGTGTGAGCCAGGAAAGTTTGTGTGCATTTCTGGGGTCAAATCAGGATCAGTGTGAGTCCTTTTGTAAGTCATAGGTCAGCAAGTGAACAGACAATGTGGAAAATTATTTCAATAATACATTTTATGACTGACGTTTATCAATTGGGATTAAAGTTATAAATGGGACACACTGATCTGCACGGAGCAATGATGTTATCAAAGGTGTTCATTAGCAGCCTATCTAAACTAACCCTCTGCCTCTGATTTTAATTTCTTTTTGGTGGCTGTAGTTTGGTGACTTCAGCCTCCTTCTCTCTGACATTTGCATGTGTGTATGTGGCACCCACTGTAAAGTCTAACAGGCAGTCACAGAAGAAAGGTGCACACGCATTGTGTTTTTTATTTCAATACTAGTAATAAGCAAATGTTCATGGCATGATAACTTTCAATTTTCATACCATGGTATACCGCTGCAACCCTGCACTGTCCATATAATCAATTTTCATGTTCTTTTGTCTGCAGAGGCATCTTTTACCAGGGATACCTGTGCCACAAGTGTCATCTAGGTGCCCATAAAGAATGCCTGGGCCGCTTTGGCTGCTGTGGAAAAACAGGTAACATGTCACTGCTCAACTATACACAAAAATATAACCCAATTTTCAATTCAAATTGTTATGAGCTACACTCTAATGTGCAACCCTGTATCAGTTATGCCCAGTCTGCAACAAACTAGTTTGTCACTGAACATAATGTTTTCAAGACAGACATTAAATCTAATTGTCCCTTTAGAGCAGTGTGAACATTATGACAGATGACACATTATGGTGCATAAAACCCAGTGTGTGAGTGGAGGATTTGTTGCACTATGATTTAGAAAAGCTATACATAACTTCCAGAAAAGGATGAGGGGGAAAGGAACCATGGGAATAAGGGATTTTGCTCTAAATGGAGTTTGTTGAAAATGACCAACTCTGAAAACAGGTCTCATCACATCTGTCTTGTCAGAGAAGGTAGTAACGACACTTTAAACTAACTGTAAGTAATCAGCTAACATTAACCTGCTTTTTATTTGTTGTCATTTTTGGCATTTTACTTGATTTGTTAGCTATTTAGTTATCAGTCTTTTTCATGACCTATTAAATACCATAAGTGGGAAAATCCTAACAGTGATTTCTACTGTGTACCTGAATGAAAATGTTAGACTGAATCTGTTGTTTGCTGTGGCAGAATAACATGAATTCGCAGCCATTTGCCAGAGGGTGAATGTTATTGCTATAGAAAATCTTATATATTCTTATATATCAACTAATTAGAAACATTAATATATTATCACAGGACCCGTAACACACACTTTTGTCATTGCTGTAGCCTACACTGTACACCCACTTTTTTGTTTGTATTAATTGAGGCTAGCTAGCAATACAACTATCATTGTTCGGTTGCAAGCAACTGGCCACTTTTTAAGGTGGAATGGTTTCTTGCATGTTACTTAATACATGAGTTAACGCTTTGAATCAGTCACCACAGCTTAATTTTTAACATCACAACTTAGATCATTTGTTTTTACTGGCTCTCTTTTAGGACATAGACTTTACTGATGATTGGATTTTTAAGCACTAACAAAAATCTATGGGGGGCGACAGGTGGGTAGAGCAGTTGTCTCCCAACCAGAAGGTTGAAGGTTCGAATCTCGGTGCCGGCAGTCCACGTGTCAAAGTGTGCTTGGGCAAGACACTGAACGCCCCCGATGGTTAGAGCTGTTGGTTGAAGTGGCGCTGCAAATGGCTGCCATTGGTTCTGTACCGGAAACAAATTCCTTGTGTGTAACATACTTGGCCAATAAAGGTGATTATCCTTATCCTAACATTATGAATTTCAAATTGATTACCGGTAAGTACATTTTGGGATTGGATTGGATCAAGTAAATATTTTTTCCTATCTAGCAAAAACAAAGTGGAGGAGCATCATTCCTGTGCATTAGGCTATCCCTGATTGGGGCTAGTAATGTGAGCTAACATTAGCAGAATGCTTAGTAACAGATACAGTATGTGATGAAGCACATAGCTTAAACCCCTTATGCATCTTGGTGTCAGATGTTTTAGATGTTGACCTGCAGATTTGATGGGCATCTGTGATTCTGAGTAGTTCTTAGAGACATCTGGAATAAAACAGCACTATATTCATATACAAACTTGTAATGGAAGACCTCAACCAGAAGCAGTGTGACCTGTTTTACCGAATACGGAGGTTTGTTGCACATAACTCCTATCAGTTAGAAGGTTATATACAGTAAGTATTTGATCAGGAATGCAAATAATCATTAAAACATCCCCTCTTCCGTGGGTGGGTTTGACACGTCATTGGGTACCATTTCATAAATCCCCAAAGTTGAACAGTTTTGCAGCATTTTAACAAAAGTCTGACTTTTTGTTATTATCTGACTATTTGTTATTATTGGAGGGAAAACTTCAGACATGTGGGATGAAAATAGTCTTCATGCATGTCCACTGCGTGTGTCTGTGTATAAGAGTGTCAGCAAAGTGTTCTGTAATTTCAGACCAGTTTCTAAATGTCCTTTTATGTCTAAAGGTCTGGAGAAGATTGTTTTTATCCAACTCCAGTCTTTTCTGACAGATAATGGCATTGAGGAGCAATTTCAGTGTGGTTTTAAATCAAAACATAGTACCGAGTTTGCGTTATTAAACATCAGTAATGATATTTTGTTGGCTAGGATGCCGGGGATTCAGTTTTATTGGTGCTTTTAGATCTCACTGCTGCCTTTGATACAGTAGATCATGAAATCCTCTTATCTCGATTGGAGCAGTGTGTAGGAATTCAAGGTACTGTTCTTAACTGGTTCAGATCTTATCTCACCAATAGAACTTTTACTGTTAATATTGGTACCGTTCCGCCTCTTCAACAATCCTTTCCTGTGGTGTCCCCCCAAGGATCTGTGTTCAGTCCCATTCTGTTCTCATTGCACATGCTTCCATTGGGATCTGTCTTAAGGAAATATGGCTTTTCTTTTCATTGTTATGCTGATGATTCAGATTTTCTTACCATTAAAGCCAACAAGAGGGATGTCATTACAGCCACTGTTTGACTGTCTGACAGACTTGAAATCATGGTTGGCACTTAAGAACAGGTAGTCAGTCTAGCTAAGTGATGCCAATTTGCTTCACACAATGTATAGTTGAGATTTGGGAGGTGTGCACGTCGGATCGTCTGCAACCATCAGTGACTTACATTTACCCATAAACCCCTTTGCTGCGTAGGTATGTGTTGATGCCTTCAAGTAGTTGCAGACAAGACTAAAATAGCTATAACACTGTGTGTCACTGTTGCATGTGTGTTTGTAATTCCCATAACAAGCTGTTGAAACTGTTCTGCTGAAACTGGCATTTCTTGTGGTGCTATCAGGTTGCAGAGGCAATACCACCACTGCCAGGCAGGAGTGGATCTTGAAAATTCTGGTCGGGGTGGCCAGGCAGATGCACAGAGTCAAAGTGGGGTAGCACATTGGAAATACATGTAAAAAGAAAATTAAACTCCCAGTTCTATGAAATAATAAATCATACCTTGTTAAGAATCACATTGTTTATTTTGTGTAAAAATGAGACACACATCGTGCTTCCTTTGGCTGCGCTCCATATTTACTCCCAGCTGGGAACACCGCTGCTGCACAGTGGCTCCGCCACTGAAGGGATTCATGAAGAGTGCTCCACAACAACACAGTTGGAGAGATGAGTACAAATATCATACCACATGCATGATATAAAATAAAATTAATTTGATCAATATCAATTATGAAGCGACAGAAAGTTGTATTTAAGACAACAGTTTGTCATTGTTTTTCATTTTTCATTCATTAACAGTGACAAACATCACATTGTGACTCTGGCAGAGGTGGCCCCAGAGCTGGCCAATCAGATTTTGGGGGTAGCTGGTGCCACCCCTGGCCACCCTCTTGGCTCCGCCCATGCTGCCAGGCCCATCTGGGCACAGTGTGTACCTGATCTGAATTACTGTAGCTGCAAGAGGACAGCATGGAACTGTGGATACCGACATGTCAGTTTGAATTCCCCCTCTCATTACTCTGCACTGTGCACACTCTTTGCTGGTACATGTGGAGGGATTAATACTTACTGTAGGTAACAAAATAATGTAAAAGTATTTTAAGATCCTGAAACTCATAAATATCCAAGTACACAAAGGCTACTTTGGTACATCCTTATTGGTTGCACCACTTTTTGCTGAATAGGCACCAACAGTGAATTTACTCATGTTAAAGCTGAGAACACCACCATAATACTTGCATGTACAGGTCTTGTCAGTACACCAGCAGGACTACACAAATGCATTCACAGCTACAGAGTAAAGGGTTGTGTACATACAGTATGTGTCAGAGTTAATCTATTGTTTTCCTGCATGTCCCTGTTATTATGTGTTTATATAACAGGTTAAAGTTCACTTGAGGAACAGCGTGAGTTGAGAGTGAGGTGTGTGTGTGTTTGTGTACTGTAGGTACAGATACATATATTCATGGCTTTCTGCCAGCCAACTTGTGCTTGGAGATATGTGTGTGTTTGTACATTTGTTCTGTTTGCACAGGTACATTTGGTATGTGTGTGTGCCTAAGTGTGTGTTTGTGTGTATCTAAGGGGTGTAACCCGTCCCTCAGGAGCCAGTGAAAACAACCCCCCATCCCCTCCCACCTTGTTAACTCTACTATCCTGGTTGTCAGGTAGTGGCAGCGCAGTAAAACCGAGTGAACCATGGTCAGACACGAGCAGCTGCCTTCTCCACTAATGAGGGAATGTTTCCTTTTGCCTTTTATTGTGTAAGTGTTTGTGTACATCCACTAACCCGTCATTCACTATGCCTGCTCTCAAACTTCTTTCAGATCCTGGCTCTGTCAGAACTCAGGTGAGCTGCTGCTGCTCTGTGTCTGTGTATTGATTTGTATACTGTGTCTGCTGCTCACCTCTTTTTCAGAGCTTTGCTGCAATGTATTCTGTTTACTTGATGTATTCCATCTGAAATGTGACTATTTTTGCTGATTCTGAGACTGCTATGTGCTCTGGAAATTCAGTCTTTTACTTGCCAATAACTGGCTATACTGGACGCACTATGCCAGTAAGTATTTTAATGTAAAACAATCATGTCTAATCAATACAAACATCAGTAAACAGCAACATGTCATTATCTAGAAAAATGTGTTTGAAGATTAAAAAAAAAAACACTGCTTTCTGCCACTTTGAAATATTTCTGCTGCATAGACAGTAGCTGACCTGCGGCTTCAGTGCATGTGTTCTGGGTTTTAATTTGTCATGTCTGTGTGCAGACATATTCAGCTAAAAATGAATCTAGCAGGTTATAAGCTAGTAGAAAGAGATAGCATTTGCACCGACTTGGTGTTTGTGGTATATCTACTGTGGTGGTGATTTCTGTATGCACTGTGTGCATCCCTCTCTATACCTGTTTCTTAGGGTAATGCTCTCTGTGCATTTTTTCAGGGCAAAGCTCAAGATCCAGGTGAGCTCAAAACGCAACACTCCCCCTGATATCTGCCCATCTTGCACACATCATCTTCTCTTCCTTCTCTGTTGGTTCTTTTCTCTCTAAACAGTGTACATAGAGACTTCTGCTCTAAAGACAAATGACCAGATTTTTGCAGGTTTTGTTGGGGTGGGTGTGGTTCCTAACTATAGTGTTGGTGGTTCGATCACTGGCTACTGCAGTCTATACGTCGAAGTGCCCTTGGGCAAGACACTGATATCCAAGGTGCCCCTGATGGCATAAGCGGAGTGTGAGCATTTGTGAATTAGTGGGCTCATAGTGTAAAGTGACTAGAATAAACTTTCAACTTTATTTGTATAGAGAGAGGTTAATCAGATCTAATATGGATGTGTTGATTAGGGGCACCACACAAAACTCTTGGGGCCCCCTGGTAGTCACACGGCTCCATAATATGGCAAAAGTACAACAATTTCATGTATTGGCCTACAATGGGAAAAAGTTGAATCTGGTGAAATACGGTAAAAATATCAAATATCACTACTTTTCTTCAAAATGAAATGCTGACATTACAGAATGCATGGCTTTATGGTTTTATACTGTAGTGAGAATAAAAAAAATTTGGTTTCAATGGAAGTCAATGGGGCATTTTTGGCCACGAATGTGTCAGGAGGAAGTGCATAAAAAATACTAAAGCAATCAAATCAATTTTGTTGCCAGTCTTTGACATATCCAAGACTCTATTCACCACCAAAACCACATCCTCCTACTATTTATTATATGGAAAAAAATTCATTTTTGGTGTTTTTTTGTAATAAATAATTCCTAATTCAAATTAATAACTGACATTTAAAGGGTTAAAATCCTGAGAATGATCGAATATTTGGTACTTTTGAGCAAGTCTGAAGTCGTTTAAGAGATTTATGAAAAAAAGTTGATAAAAATATTGAAATATGAAAAATTTATATTCATACTTTTGTACGTGTACATTTTTGCCACAAATGCGTCAAGAGCATAGTACATTTAAGGAGGGCACAAGGGTTAAATGAGCTACAAACTTCTCTTAAATTAGATTCTTTAATGACTCTTTGCAGTATTAAACCATTATTATTGCTCTGTTTCTAATGGATAATTTGTTTTTGGTTGTTGTTGTGCTTTGTGAAATTTGATTTTAGTGTGGTCTCTGGATATTTATTTTGTCTTAAGAATGAGTTTCATGACTATGACTGTTCTTCTCAGCTCTCTCTTGAAAAGAGACTGTGATATCAGTGAAACTATCTGAATAAATAAAGCTGCCAGGCTCAGTGCTAGAGTCTGGCATCAGACCCTGAAAGAGAAGTAAGGCTATAGAAATCTTTCAGTACGCTTTTGTTGGCTTTTCTACACTTTTCATTATGCTCTGACCTGAATTCCCTTTTTTTTCACTGTCCATGCACAACACTCAAATGGGCACTAGAGGCCAGGCTCCAAAAGGGAGTCAGTCCCCATAGACTCCCGGGTTAAAACGCCCAACTTTACAGCAGAAATACCATGTTCACAGCGTGGTACAAAAAGTCATTTTGCTCTCTATAGCCAATTTCCTCTTTCATCCCCTGTACAGTTGCAATGGTTGTTTTTATAATGTGCCTGTTTGAGTTATATTGAGACTAAATGTTATAAATAAGTAAGGGTGTAGCCGTTTTGAGTGACAGGTCAGAGGGTCCTGCCATCAGTGTGTAATAATCTGACACAATCCACAATCATTAATTAGTTGTAGGTGCACAAAACAACACCGCTCATAAGCCATAATGAAAAATGGAATAACAGTTACAGGGCAGATGTCCTGATCATTCATGTTACAGGCAGCAGGTAAAGTCAGTTCGACCTCACTGTTCGCTGCAGTCGCTTGCTGTCCAGTTACAGTTTTTTCAATCAAATTTCAAAAAGACACAGGATACATTGAGTCTAATTTTGCATTTAGGACAGTCTGATCCCAGTGTAGGTAGATGTACATGTAGTTAAGTAATCTTTAACAGCTCCCATAGACCTCAGTCAGATTCTGGATCACCTGTGGTACATCATCATAAAATGCAGGGATTACAATATATTTCACTGTGTTATTTTAAAAACACAGGGGCCGCACAGTGGCACGGTGGGTAGTGCCGTTGCCTCACAGCGAGAAGGTTCCAGGTTTGCGACCTTTCTGTGCGAAGTTTGCATGTTCCCCCTGTGCCTGCGTGGGTTCTCTCCCACTGTCCAAAGACATGCAGCTTCAGTTAATTGGTGACTCTAAATTGCCCATAGGGGTGAATGTGTGTGTATGGTTGTTCGTCTGTGTGTTGGACCGGCAACCTGTCCAGGGTGTACCCCGCCTTTCGCCCGATGCGAGCTGGGATTGGCTGCAGCCTCCCCGCGACCCCATTCAGAACTAAGCCCTATAAAAAATGAGATGACATTTTAAAAACAATGAAATATTTATAAAGTTACATGCAAATAACCTCTAAGACCCCCTGTGCATTTCGCCCACTGTGGGTAGATTACACTGTATACCTGCTGCTGGTTACAGGACCAGCGATTGTATATCTTCCATGTAGAAGCGCTGGTCAGTGATATTAGCAGACTAGTGAGTGACTATTTTGGTGCCATACTTCTACATAAATAGTTTTGTCATGACAATGTAGGAATAGAGTACATAACAAGTAGAAGAAGAAGATGCAGGGAAAGAAACTTTCCTCTCACATATTTCCATGTCATGACCTCAGTGACATCAGTCAGAGTCGGGTATCTGGGATGCATTTATTGGGGATGAGTTTTGATTGGACATTACAAATGCCAGCCCCAACACCAGCTGCTCATAATGCATTCCTCCCTCTACAGTGATTCTCTGGGTGATACCTGGTCATGCACATAATGCACCAATACTGGTAAATGGACTTGTATAGTGATTTTCTGTGCATTGCAGCACATTCAAAGTGCTTTCACACACACCAGTAGGACAGCTACCAGGGGCAACTTAGGGTTCAGTGTCTTGCTCGAGGTCATTTTGACATGTGGACTGGAGAAACCAAGAATCAAATGACCAACCCTTTGGTTAGTAGGTGACCCGCTCTACTTCCTGAGCCACAGCTACCCCATAACACTGCAAAACATGTCCACAGCTTTCCACCTGGAGTGGAGACAGTTCATTGCTGCACCCAGATACACAGAGCCCTATTGTGTTGATTTGTCCCTTAATTTGTCACCTGTCTTTGTGTACTTGGCAAAATTGGCTGCTTTCTTGAATCAGGAGAGTAGAATTTTAATGTGCTCATTTTCCTTTCAAATTTTTTTGTCTTCAAATGGAAAAGGTCAAACCAGACAGACTGAAGATGCCGTCCCTGGTAGTCTAGTGGTTAAGGCACAGCACTCTTGCCGCGGTGCCCCACGTTCAAAACCAGCTTGCATCAGGAAGGGTATCTGGTGTAAAACATGCCAAATGTCAACATGCGAGTCATCAGTGTGATGATTCACTGTGGCAACCCCTAAACAGGAAAAGCCAAAATTGACTTTCTAGACAGACTGAAGATGTGCTCCTGTGGTTGCTCAGTTCACATCAACAATACTGTAACTGCAGATAAGTTGGGTACTCATCCACATCTGTTTTGACAGTTTCCATTTGAAGACAGAAAAATGAAAAAAGAAATTAGCACATTAAAATGTATCTCTCATCCTTCAAAACTTTGGTTCTCATTGTAAGAAACCTATTTTGTCATTACTTGTTTAAATAAAATCAAATAGATTAGTTTGTGTTTTACAAATCAAATATCTCACTTCTGATTTCAAAATGGATTTTTTTAAACTGTACAAAACTAGTATGGTTTAGGTCTGTAAATAAGATCCATAAGGTTAAAATAAATCCTGAATAATGACCAACCGTCTTTACCGCTCCACATTTCTATTTGTCAGGACTGTGCTGTTTCCATAGTGTTCATGTGAAGCACATGAACAGCATGCGGAGGACTCTAATGCAGTCCTTGTTGCAGGTCTGCCCAAGATGCTGGTAATCAGGAACTACTCCGGCGTGCCGAGCCCCACTTCTGGTCCAGCATTGAACATCCAGACCGGTGATATCATTGAGTTAATCTGCGCAGACCTTCAAAGCCTGTGGTGGCAGGTCAGAGGTCACATACAGTATTTCACAAGCCTAAAAAATGGATTTAAATGTCACTCAGCCTAACCCAGGGGTCATCAGCTATTTATAAGGATAATGATAATCACCTTTATTGGCCAAGTATGTTACACACAAGGAGTACAGAACCAATGGCAGCCACCTGCGGCGGCACTTCAACCAATGGCTCTAACCATCGGGGCTGCCGGCACTGAGATTCAAATTTTCAACCTTCTGGTTGGGAGACGACTGCTCTACCCACCGCACCACTGTCGCCTCCCTGATTTATCTCTGAACCCTACTGATTTGTTTAACCAGTTATAAAATATCAGTATCCAAAACTCACATTTTGGCCATAAACCCTTTTAACCTCACATCAGAGTATCAAGCTCACAAGATGTACCTTTTAAATGGCCATCACATTCAATTTTAATACAACATATCACTGTATCACACCTCCCTGCACAAATGAAATCTTTATAGTTCACATGTACTGTGTGTGAGTCATACATTCAGTTGTGTATTTGTGCATATAGACATTGTATAAAAAAGGGCAAATTAGGTTTGTAGTGTGAGCCATCTACACAACAATGGAGGACATTAAGGTAGGCTACTTTAAACCCTTAGACCCCAACTGCCTCAAGTTATGTCAAAAGTCAGTTCTTTCAGTTAAACCTGAACATACAGACACGATACACATTTCAGATTCCATATGACATACACTTTCCCAGAATATCATTATGTTTGATCTATCACAAAGAATGGCCATATACCCGCTTCCATCACAGAATGACAATGCTCTGTTTAACTGCAGAATTCGCCTGAGGAGTTTTCTTCAGTGTCAATGTGATTCAGTGACAATTCACTGTACATCCAGTGGTACACAGTAAACAGGAGCTGCTAATAGTGTGTTCATTATTTTCCAAAATCTAAACAAATATAAGTAAAAAAAACAGACCTCATGCTGTAGTCCACAGTGTAGTTCACCTAATCAATGGCAACATTTTCTCCCGTGTATTGTAAAAGTTTATTTACAGTATATCTGTATATCTTTTCAAATAACTGAAGACTTTTAACATTTAATGTTATAAAACCTTTGAATTTTAAATGCATGCCACTGTTAACCTTATTTTGATTCCTGCTTATTTATGACCTGTCCCAATAGTAAAGCAACCCATCTTAAAATGGTTTTCCATGTAGGGCCAGTGTTGGGGAAACTGCTCTGAAAGCATAGCTCAGTAATTAGTCCACACTGGAAGGGGAACTACAGCAATGCTACCATGGGAGGGAATCTAGTTTGGTTAGCTCAAGCTACTTAGAAAAAGTAGTTCAAACTAGCACCTTTTCAGACAGTATGAACAGCTTGAACAATGGTCTAGTAACCTTGGCCTTATCTTTTTACTTGTTAGAGCAGAATCTCTTGTTTCTACAACACATGAGCAACGTTCTTATCCATGGTTCTATTTGGCACTGGTAATGTCCTTGTCCCTCACAAACAGCATGGTAAAATAACATTATTAAAAAAACCATTCCTTTCTTTTTATTGGCCAAATTGTAGTTGCAGTAGTTTAATGATTAGGCCGGTCACTTTTTATATTAATAGCATTTTCAGCAATTTCCATGCAGAGACTAAAGCCGACAGTGAATTACCTCTGCTCACATTTAATGTCTGTCAGTCCTGGATTAGCTTGTTCGTCTGTACGATATATCACCATTGTTGTTCAAATAATTAAAAATATTAAAAATCCCGGACTGACAGACTGGCAGACAAATTGCCACAAGTAATTTAACTACTTGAATCACTATGCAAATATAGCCCCTTTTCCACTGCCTGGTACCGGCTCGACCCGACTCTGCTGTACTCTCTTTTGGTACCAGGTGTTACATGTGAGTGTGGTGTGGATCCCAATTGCAGACAGAGACCAGGAGGAGTGGGAGCTAAAGAAAGTAGTTTAATGACTACAAAACAGGTAATGCTGGGTGGCAGGAAGAGGAACAGGCTCCAGGAAGTCAGGGAGTGCATGAGGAACCCAGGAGGACCAGGAGTGATGATGAGGAACCCAGGAGGACCAGGAGTGATGATGAGGAACCCAGGAGGACCAGGAGGGACGATAAAACCAGGAGGGATGAGGAGACCAGGAGGGACGAGGGGACGAGGAGGAACCAAAGGGGGGATGAGGAGACCAGGAGGGCCGGCAGCAGGAGAAACACAGAAACCAGAGGACAAGCAGGAGTGCGGGCAGCAGGGGAGACACAGGACCCAGAAGGCGAGCAGGAGAGCCGACAGCAAGGTGGACACAGGAACCAGAGGGCAAACAGGAGAGCCGGCAGTAGGGGAGACACAGGAACCAGAAGACAAACAGGAGAACCGGCAGCAGGATATCAGGTAAGCTGGGATATGTAGATCTGGTGGCCTGAGTGGTACTGGCAGACGGAGTAGCAAACAGAGGAACACGGAATAGCAAGTAGCAGATGGATGAACAGCGGACAGGAGTGCTAGCAGTTAAACAAAACAAAGGCATGGAGTTAAGGACTTACGCAAGATAAAACAAAAACAGCGACGGTGGCTGACTGACCAGGCGTAGGGTACGTGGGGCTGCTGAGTTTGCAGAAGTTAACAGAAACGATGGAGCAGGACCAAGACCGGAACACAGAGACAAAGAAAAAGGCAAGCTCATGACACGCACGCATGGTACTATGGTATCGTAGCGTAGCATAAACGTAGGGTAATGTATCGTATGAACCAGTAAAGAGGCGGTGGAAGACAGGGTGTATATATACCTGACAAGACCGGGAGACAATGAGCAGCAGGTGGGAGAAATGATGGCTGATTGCAGAGAGAAACCGCAGGGGACTGGACCGGGGATCAACAGGTGAACGACATGGTGACTAATTGTGGTGACGTAGCAGCAGGGAGAGCACAGGTAAACAAACATAAATCCAGGAAGCAGATCCTCGTAAAACCATAACAGTACCCCCCCCCAAGGATGGCTGCTAGACATCCCAAAAACAAAACAAAACCACAACAGGGCTGTATAGAGAGGGAGGCAGGGGCCCGGAAGGAGGGCACCAAAATGATAACAGACAGTCATAGGCCAGGAACACCAAGTCCGGGCGGTGAGAATGTAAACATAAAACGACCAGCCAAAAAATGCTGGACTGGACACATTGTCCAAACAAAGAAAAATGACCTAAGTCGCAGGAACCGACCTGCGGGCGGCCTCAATGCCAGACAGGGCCGCGGAGAGGCCGCGGAGAGGCCGCTCCAGAGGACGGCCTTGATGCAGTCAAACAGGTACCAGAGCAAAGGGGGCGTTGGCGCATTTGCCGACCCGCTCGGGACCAGGAACTGGCACTGACGTGGCGTTGGCGTACCAGGCGACCCGCTCGGGACCAGGAACTGGAACTGACGCGGCATTGGCGTACCAGCCAACCCACTCGGGACCAGGAACTGGATCAGGAACTGAGGCAGCATTGGTGATCCCCTCTGGAGCAGGAAGCAGGGCGTTGGCGTCAGCAAACCCCTCTGGAGCAGGAAGCAGGGCGGCGTCATCGTCAGCAAACCCCTCTGGAGCTGGTAGCAGGGTGGCGGGGCCAGCGAACCCCTCAGGAGCTGGTAGCAGGGTGGAGTCGTCGTCATCGACCCACCCTACTGGGGTTGAAAGGAGCGGAGTGGTGGCGTCACCGTTGACCCATCCCTCTGGAGCTGGTAGCAGGGTGGAGTTGTCGTCGACCCACCCCATTGGGGCTGAAAGGAGCGGAGTGGTGGCGCCACTGTCGACCCACCCCTCTGGAGCTGGAAGGAGCGGAGTACTATCGTTGCCAACCCACACGGGATCAGGAAGCAGGAGCGTGGCGTCGTTTCCAACCCACTCAGGAGCAGGGGAGTGGCGTCGTTGCCAACCCCCTCAAAGGCTAGGAGCAGGGGAATGGCATCGTTGCCAACCCCCTCAAAAACCAGGAGCAGGGAAGTGGCATTGTCCCCGACCCACTCAAAGGCAGGAACTGGCTCGAAGGTGGCATTGGCACGCCAGCCAACCCGCCCAGAGACAGGGACAGGAACAGGCTTGAAGGCAGCATTGGTGCCCCGGCCAACCCGCTCAGGGACAGCAACAGGAACAGGCTTGAAGGCTGTGTTGGCGTGTCGACCGACCCCGCTCAGGGACAGGAACAGTAACAGCAGCAAATGCCCTGGCTGGCGGCTCACCATCAGCACACTGAGCGAGCCGGGCCCTGGCGGGGACACTATTGTTGGCACACCCGGGCCCCCTGGCATCAGAGGGGACATCACCATTCTCCAGCTGGGGAACAGGCAAAGGCTGCTGCTGCTGCAGGAAGTGGAGCTGCTGGTCGGGCACAGATGCTGGCACCGGCACTAAGGCGGTATCAACGCACCGGCCGACCCACTTGGAAACAGGACCTGGAACGGACACAGGGACAGACACCAAGGTGGCGTCGGCACACTGACTGGCTCGGGGCCTGGCGGGGACATCTTTGTTGGTGCACCTGGGTTTTAGGGAGTCAGCGGGAACACCACTGTGCCCAGACCGGAGGGGAGGGCCTGTGGAGACTGCATCTCTGGGACTGGCTGAGGCGGCCGGCTGATCCGTTCGGGACCAGGTACTGGAACTGGGGTGGCATTGGCATACTGACTGTCTTGGGCCCTAGCGGGGACGCTATCGTCGGCACACCAGGGGTACGGGGAGTCAGCAGGGATGCCACTGTGACCAGACTAGGGAGCCAGCCGGGGCTGAGGCTGTGGCTGCTGGGGAGCTGGCTGGCGTCTACCCCTCCTCCTACTCTTCCCTGCTCCAGGACCTCCAGGACAGAGGGCCAGCCTGGTACCAAAAAAGGTGAGGAGCCAAAAGTGGTGGGCACTGGAATATGGTCAGAACGCCCACTCGCATGGAGGGATAGACAGGCCAGGGGGTCTGAGAAGGAGAAGGCCTGGCAGCAGCAGGACTGGGGCTCGCCTGGGGATGTAGGTACTCACAGGACGGGGCCTCCCTAAGTGAGCGCAGCATGTCTTCACCCACACGAGGCCCCCCAGCTCCCGGCGGGTGTCTGCTGGGGTCTTGTGTGGCTGGTTCATTCTGTTACATGTGAGTGTGGTGTGGACCTCACATGTAAGGAGGAGTGGGAGCTAAAGAAAGTAGTTTAATGACTACAACACAGGTAATGCTGGGTGGCAGGAAGAGGAACAGGCTCCAGGAAGTCAGGGAGTGCATGAGGAACCCAGGAAGACCAGGAGTGACGATGAGGAACCCAGGAGGACCAGGAGGGACAATGAGACCAGGAGGGACGAGGGGATGAGGAGGAACCAAGGGGGGATTAGGAGACCAGGAGGAACCAAGGGGGGATGAGGAGACCAGGAGGAACCAAGGGGGGGCCGAGGAGACCAGGAGGAACCCAGGGGGGGAGGGGGACGAGGAGACCAGGAGGGCCGGCAGCAGGAGAAACACAGAAACCAGAGGACGAGCAGGAGTGCGGGCAGCAGGGGAGACACAGGACCCAGAAGGCGAGCAGGAGAGCCGACAGCAAGGTGGACACAGGAACCAGAGGGCAAACAGGAGAGCCGGCAGTAGGGGAGACACAGGAACCAGAAGACAAACAGGAGAACCGGCAGCAGGATATCAGGTAAGCTGGGATATGTAGATCTGGTGGCCTGAGTGGTACTGGCAGACGGAGTAGCAAACAGAGGAACACGGAATAGCAAGTAGCAGATGGATGAACAGCGGACAGGAGTGCTAGCAGTTAAACAAAACACAAAGGCATGGAGTTAAGGACTTAAGCAGGATCAAGACCGGAACACAGAGATGAAGAAATGGCGAGCTCATGACACGCACGGATAGTACTATGGTATTGTAGCGTAGCATAAACGTAGGGTAATGATATCGTATGAACCAGCAAGGAGGCAGCGGAAGACAGGGTGTATATATACCTGACAGGACCGGGAGACAATGAGCAGCAGGTGGGAGAAATGATGGCTGATTGCAGAGAGAAACCACAGGGGACCGGACCGGGGGATCAACAGGTGAACGACATGGTAACTAATTGCAGTGACGGAGCAGTGGGGAGAGCACAGGTAAACAAACATAAATCCAGGAAGCAGATTGTTGCGAAACCGTAACACCAGGTGCTTGGCTTTCCACTGTGGATAGTCCCCCCCATAGCATAGCTAGCAGTCACAGCGACACTGCATGAAGCTGTGGTAAGGTCCCTAGCCTACGATGGTGGCAGGGCAGGCTCAAAGCTGTGAGACTGTTGTTACGTCATTTTATTAAGTTTTGATAGTTTTTCAATCAGTGCTACTGATCACCCTTTACATCTGTCTGTGGGTTTTACAAACATTTAACCAATAAAAAGCATTAAGATGGGCATGTGACTAAATCTCGTAACTCCATTGGATCCTGAAGCTGAAGCAAAACCTCATATGAGCTCGATTTAGGTAAAAATGTTAATGATGTAATGGCACACAAGTAAGTCACCATATATAAAGACATAATACCAGGTTTTGACAACATAATGTTGAATTATTTGATACACAGGGTTTTTTTATTTCCTGTAAAGTAGCAGTTTCAGAGATATAGGTTTCTGCTTGACAGCGGCAATATTTTCATAGAACAAAAACAGCTTCATCACCCACAGCACCTGAATCGGTGAAAAGGAGACAACTACATGATGTTTATGTGGACCAAGTCTCCCCAGTGTTGATAACTGGAGGTGCTGAGCATCCAGAGTCGCCACCATGGGAGGAATGAGGAACTCGATCTCTTCCTGTCAACCATCATTTCAGCAATAGTTACATAGGGCTGTAAATTAGCTTTTCTCTGTGTTGCAAGCTAATTGCTCCTGAATCATGGAGTCAGAGTCATGACACAGTTATCTGTCTGTGGTTTCAGGGCAAACTCCTGTCAACAAAAGAGGTTGGCTTCTTTCCAAGCAACTCTGTGAAGCCCTGCCCATGTGTAAGCAGTCTTTCTTTCTTCTCCTTCGGTACATTCCGGCTGTATGTATTTACCAGCACTTCAGCGGCATGGGGATGGCTGGGGATTTCAGAGAGAAAATACCTGGCATTAGAAGAAACCAGTCTACAGGTTTTTATGTACTGACCACGACCATGAGATGGATGTAGCTTAATCTCTAATTCATTGTATCAGTAAAAAGCAAAGAGTAAAACCATATGTTCTGAGGAACAAGAAGTCTTTAACAACTGAACAGCTGAGAGCATAATGTGTATCTTTCCTAAGATGAGTGAACTATGTAACTCTTTTTTTAACATCTTGTCCCGACCACTTGTCATGTTTCATTTGATACCATTCATACTCTGTCCAGCTGCTATGAGTCCTCTAGTAGATAACACACTGTTATCACCATCTCTACACTGTTGTAAAAATAAGAAGTGCATTGAGCTGCTTTACTGAGGCTGAACTGTGTACAAACACCTGTGCTCTATATAAGTTTGTTTGTATGTTGTATGATAGCTGTTGATGTCCACTTTTGCCGTTTACTTCAGGTACCAAAGCCCGTCGATTACTCTTTGCAGCCATGGTATGTTCATCAAATACCTTTCTCACTCATAATTTAATAAGGAGGTGAAAGTCTTGATAAAGGTGATTGTTAATGGATATACTGTAATAAAACATTAAATACATACTGTATGTAAATCAGCCAAACCACGTCCAGGATATTTTGTTTGCCTTTAGCAGTTAAACTCTGTAGCTTTACTCTAACCTGGAAGTCTAAGCCAACTGAAGAGCCATTATATAGATATTAAAAAAGCAATGTGATCAGCAGTGTGAAGGCAATAACTTGTCTAACCTTCCACAATGAATTTTAGGGTGGTTAGGTTTCTTTCTGTTCTTTTCTCCTTTTCTTCCCCAACTCTTCCTCTTGTCTTCTGTGTTGCAGGTTTGCAGGGCCCATGGAGCGGCTCCAGGCAGAAGCGCAACTCATCAACAGGGTCAACAGCACCTATCTGGTCCGCCATCGCTGTAGAGAGTACACGGAGTATGCCATCAGCATAAAGTAAGCCGTCTTTTTCTGCCAGGTCATTCAGTAAAGGTCTTACATCAGCCGCTTAGGTGGGAAATGTGTCTCTATCAATAAAAGCAAAATGCAACAAAGTGTGATGGACAGTGGAAATGTGTCTTTATAGATACTTTTATACTTGTGTGCTTATACTTACATTGTCGCAGTCTTGGTCCATCTCCACCCTATGTTTTCTCTGGTTTGTTCCTCTGGACATTTCTAAAAACTCTCATTCTCCATCCAGTTTCCAGTTTTCCCTCCAGCTTTGACCCTCACATATACTCACACACATACACACACACACACACACACACACACACACACACACACACACACACACACACACACACACACACACACACACACACATTGATTAGGTCATTGCAGTATATACTGTAAAACTGGAAGTTTTTTTGTTCATTGCCAGTTTGTCTGTTGTGTTGATCATAGCCTTTGGGCATTTAACAGCATTCTTGCATTGTTTGCCCATCTGCTTTGCCTGCTTTTGGTAAATGTGATTAGATCCCATCAGTTTCACCTGGGCTGTCATTTTTTTCTACAAAATTGTCACCTATCAGAATAATTAGATAACTACATGAAGACTTGTACACAGTGACATAAAGGCAGGACTGGAACAAGCTTAGGAACAACATCTGCCATACTGGTTCCACACATGCACCCATCATTCACATGTGACAAACCTTTGGGACCCCACATATTACACTGTCATGGTCTTGCCAGGAACTAGGGGCCACAACCAATTGATGGCACTTATCAGAGAGGGAAATTACACTCATAACTTATTCAATGGCCCACAGGTACAACAACGACGTGAAGCACATAAAGATCCTGACTAAGGAGGACTGCTTTCACATCACTGAGAACAAGAAATTCAGGAGTATATTAGTGAGTCTTTTCAACCTGTTTTACTTTTTTAATTACGCTGCAATTCATAAATATGTTGTCAGGTTCACATAATGACATGTCAGAACCTAAATTTTACTTTAGCTGTGTGCACAAACATAGGCATGTTTAGAGACGTGTTTATACTGGCCTGAAGGCTTCAGCATTGTTGATAAGTTCAGTGCATTTTGGAAAGGTTCACCAGTCCTATTTATAACAGAACCGTGCTCTCTGATTTCCTGATTAAAATGTTTGAATATCAGTGTGTATAAAAACAACATATAATTTCAATTGGAATCAGAAGACCTCATTAAAAGTTCTGTCCAATGCGGTTGTATTGACTTATTATCTTAGACTCCTTCAAAGCATATAACATACACAACCTGATTTTCTCTACATTGCACAAATTCATTATTCTTGGGGGCACTTCTCATCTCCAGCAGGTTGCCTGCAATAGCTGCCATGGAAACAAACATTGTTTTCATGTAGACTTTTCATATTTTGACAGTGTATTAATGAAACATCATTTACATATCAGTGATAAGAGCTAAAAATACAAAACCTTTTCATAGCAGATTTTCAATATAAATGTAGCAGTACACAGACATGCAAATATCTTACATATCTTACTACTTTGATGGCTTATTTGTATACGTGTGTGTGTGTGTCCAGGAGCTGATTGAGTACTACAAACACCACTCACTGAGAGAGGGCTTTAGGAGTCTGGACACTACGCTGCAGTTTCCTTTCCGAGAACTGGAGAGCACTACTGTGCACCGCCTCAACCGGCCTGGTGGCAATGGTGAGTAGACCTGTAAAGTTACTGAGAACACAAACGGTCAACCATGAAGACCCTACACTCAAAGAAACTGATTTTATACTTATGTGAGTTTTCTCCTTCTGCTATGCAGGTTTCACATTCTGTCTTTCACTTTTAAATGACTATTTTCTAGGTCTGTCAATTGAAAAAATGTTCCATTGCAGATTCATCTCATGGCCATAGTTAATTGAAGATTAACTGCACATTTGTATAGTATCTGTTTAAAATGTACTGTAAAAGGACATTTTCTTATCAGCACGGGGCTGGACAAGAGGTGCTTTGTACAAATAGACACATTCATTATTGGAAATCAGTGAGCAACATAAAACCAGTGGTGGAAAGTAAATTTATTCAAGTACTATATTTAGGTATACTTTTGATGTATTTGTACTTTACTTGATTTTCTGCTGTGCTTCATACTTAAACCTATGTAAATATTCATCTTTTTACTGCACTACATGAATGTCATGAGACTCACAGGACTAGAATGAAATACAGTATAATCCCAACACTGATCCTCAGTGGAAAATGTACCCAGCAGTATTTTAGCTCCCACTTTACCAGCTGCAACAATAAAGTGATGAACACAATAATGCATCAGTAAATAGTATAATCCAGTTATATGACAATGTGTAATGTGCCATTCTACATGATGAATACTTTTACATATATTTAAGTAAATTCTGATCCAAACTACAGCTAAGGTGAGGAGTCCTCCCAACACAACCTGAATTAATCATGTCAAAAAATTTGTGCCTGTCAGGTCCACTCAGCGTGACCTGCCTCTCTTCTTCCTTTCTCTCTCTCGTGAGGCGCATTCCCTTGATTACCACCCTTCCTTATTTAAACCTCTGGCAGACGCTCCGTCGTTGCTGGAGCATTACTTAAATATAAATATATGTAAATGTGTGTACTCGTACTTGACTGGATTTCAACGCTGACAGTCCCTGTGCTGTGGATTTCTTTTTGTACATTGTTTACATGTGTTAGCAATACGTAACCGGTTTCAACACTGACAGTTCCTGTGCATTTGATTTCGGTACGTTCGCTACTCTGCTTCCCTGACGGCGTTCGCTAATCCTCCTGGTTATTGTCTCCTCATCTGCTCGTCCTGGTCTCCTCAGCCATCACTGCCCTACCCTGGTTATGTACTCTATATTGACTCAGTTACTTTGTTTGTGTTCTCCATTAAACCACCTTTTTCACTAGCACATGGGTCTGCATCTTGGGTCCTCCCTTTTGCTCTCCCTCACCCCCTGGTGAGGGGGACTCAACCATAACAGTGCCGTTAAAAACAGTGTTATTAACTTTGCTGTTTTCTGCTGTTTTCTTTTAGTTGCTATATTTCTTTTGCAATGCTGGAAAACTGATAATGGGTGTTTATGCTGTGTTTTATAGAGTTTTGAAGAAGGAAAAACTGATTTTATCCAATGCATTAATTACAACCACAGCAACACGAGTATTAATAAAAAATATAAATGAATACATGTCCATAGAGAATCACTTAACAGTGTGTGGGACTGCAGGGCTGAACTCACCTTCACTGTCTTGTGAAAAGATACCGTGCATGTTTATGTGTGTACCTCTGTTAATCAACCTGTTCACATTGTGTATTCCAGTGTGGTCCACAAAAATGAGGCATGTAAAATACAGTTGGGGTGTTGGTGACTGTTGGAAGTGGAGGCCAATCTCTCCTCATATTGCTCATAGCCAAACACCATTACAGGCTGCAGAGCTGTGTCTCTTTAAAGCATGCTAATAACTCAGGCCAGTTAACTTGCCAGCAGTATTGTTGGGAGTGCCTGGTTTTTGATAAAGTCTGGATATTTATCTGCCTTTGTGGGGATTTTCTATTACCAGTGACTGAAATGTGGTTCCTGTGCAGGTGGTGTAGAAAGTATAAGAACAAATTAATTGAGATTTTGAGGAGATGTAAGAAACTATATTACCGTATTTTCCGCATTATAAGGCGCACCTAAGAGCCTTAAATTTTCTCAAAAATTGGTCGTGCGCCTTATAATCCGGTGCGCCTTATATGTGTTCCAAAATCTGTAAAAATGTTGTTGTGCGACTTTGGTAAGCGCTCCGCTTGATTGACTGTCGGACCATTTCCCGCTGACACAGGGACGTAATACGTACACTACGTACGCTGGCAGCGATAAACCAGTCTAAACCGGTCTAAGGACCCCCGAAAATGGCACCAGTGAAGAGACATGCTTACGAGGCACAATTCAAACTACAGGCTATCAGTTACGCGGTTGTAAATGGGAATAGAGCAGCTGCGAAAGAATTCAAAATCAATGAATCTATGGTTCGGAAGTGGATTTGTGGGAGAAGATTGATTAAAAAATAATGTGAGTGTATTGTTAAATAGTAGAATAAAGTTCAACTAAACTCGCTGTTTTGCTTCCGTTACGTTTTAGCGTGCGCCTTATGTATGGGTTAAGTACAGAAATAGACCCCGTAATTGAGACTGCGCCTTATAATCCAGTGTGCCTTATGGTGCAGAAAATACGGTACTCTAAAGTATTAGAGGATAATAAAAATAACATGAGAGGTACTTGGAATATATTAAATAAATTGATTAGAAACAGTTCCAGCAAGAGTAACTACCCTCAATATTTTCTGGATAATGATACACCGGTCAATAGATTGGAGGATGTAGTTGATAAGTTTAATAGGTTTTTTGTGAATGTTGTTAGCAAGAAGCATTTGTACAGATGATAGATCCGTCACTATAAATAATAATACAATCGAAAGGAACATAAGTTTTATGTTTTTGAAGCCCATAGTTGAAAAGGAAATTATAGAGATAGTGAATAAATGTGGTAACAAAACATGTAGTGATAGTGATGGTATCACTATGACAACTGTTAAATGGGTAATTGAGGGGATATGCAAACCATTAACCCATATTTTTAACATGTCGTTTCGACTTGGGCAGTTCCCCAA